GGCTTGAAAACATTCGTGTCATAACCAGGGAAAAGCCGTAAAGCGAGGACCCGTGCTGTACCGTACGCCGTGGGAACCAGTCCTGGCGTGACAGGAAGGTCTGACTTACGGTTTAGGAGTCCCTGGGACGCGATCTACGACGGAGAATGGAGTCAGAAGAAGCTGGACGGGCGGAAAGGCCTGAACAGGATTCCTGGACACAACTTAACGTGGTGAAACCTCCTGGATACTGAAACCAAGATGGCGTCTGAGAGAACCCGGAAGTGGATCCTCATTCAACGCTGACCTCGAACGGTAAGGAGCCAGGCAAGGGGAGTGCCTTAAGTAGGCTAGGGGTGGAAAACCAGCACCTCCCACAAATGCAGGCAAATTGCCTTAATACATATATATTTTAATACCATAGCATCAGGAATACATGTTTGCATTTCTATAGTGTTCCTTTAATTTCTCAAAGATTTTGAGATTTTATTCTTATCAAATTGTTTCATATATACATATTTGATGTAAAATGAAAGTCCTGTTTCTCCTGAACAAAATGATCTATAAGTGTGGATGCACTTATTATTACATGAAAGATGTAAATTGTGGTTGAACAGACTTATAGATCAAATTTTAGGTTTTGTTTTGATCAGAACTTGTTTACCTACCTTAAGGCGTTAAAAATCAGTAGGTTTTAAAGTGCAAATTAGCATAATCAGAAGAGCTTGCCTTCTGCCTTTCCACATAACATGTGTGTGAACCCTATTAACCACAAGCCTCCCGGACTAAATAAGACACATGGACGGCTTCAGATGAGGCTCTCTAATTAGGCAATTTAGGTGGCCGCCTTAGGCCACGCATGTTCTGGGGCCTCGCGGCCGCCTAATTCACCTTAGGGAAGAATGACATGTTGGGTCTTCAGCCTATGACTGACGGCCCAACACAGGAAGGGGCACGGCGGGTTGCCCATAATGCTGCCGGGTGCGACGACTCTCCAGTCAGTCTGCCCTGACTGAGAGCCAGCCTTCAGTCTGCAGCTCTGCCGGGTGCACAACTGCAGACTGAGGTGTCTCGCGATCTAAGCCAATCAGAGCATTGCCGCGGGTTACTAAGGCAATGCTCTGACTAGAGATTGAGAGACTTACCACATGGTCTGCAGCTCTGCACCCGGCGGAGCTGCAGACCGCATAGGGAGCCCACAGAACCACCATGGGTTCAGCCAACCCATGGGACCACTAGGGATGGAGCTAGCACACTGGACAACCAGGGAATCAATATATATAAAAAGGTATTCACCCCCTGTCACAGCCCCCCCCACCACCCCGTGCCATGCCACAGCTCCCCCCTACCCTGTCACAGCTCCCCACCACCCCCTGTCCTGTCACAGCCCCCTACCAATCCTTGCCCTGTCACAGCTCCCCTACCACCCCTACCATGTCACAGCTCTCCCACCACCCCTGCCCTGCCACAGTCCCTCTGCTACTCCCTACCCTGTCACAGCCCCGCTACCACCCCCTGCTCTGTCACAGCCCCCCCACCCCTATACTGTCAAAGCCACCACACCACTCCTACCCTGTCACAGCCCCCCTTCCACCCTCTGCTCTGTCACAGACTCTCCACTACTTCCTACAATGTCACAGCTCGCCCCCCCCCTACCCTGTCACAGCCCCCTACCCTGTCACAGCTCCCCCACCACCCTTACCCTTTCATGGCACCCCCTACTATGTCACAGCTCCCCCAACCTATCACAGCCCCCACCACACCCTGTCACCCCACACCCACCCTATGACAGCCTCCCTACACATACACGTGTCACAGCCCACCACAAACACACACACACACACACAGTCACAGCCTTCCTCCATGCACCTTGTCATCCCCCACCCATACCCTACCATTACCACACACTGACACCCCCTTCACACAGTCACCCCTACACGCATACACAGGGCCGGCCTTAGGCCTTTAGGCACCCTGTGCGAAAAATCTTCACAGCGCCCCCCCAGGTGTATATTTTTTCCAGTGTCCCACAGTCAGATGCACAGTTATACACTTGTCAAATACATCACATGCACACAGTCACAGGAAGAGAGTCGCAGAAACACATAGGTAAAGGCAGTAACACACATACACAGTTACAGGCAGATAAACACACTCACACACAATTAAAGGAATACAGCCACATACACACGCAGGCAGACAGCCCCACACACACAGCCACACATCCAGTCTTACTTACACACACACACAGGCAGACAACCACACAGACAGCCACACACACAGGCAGGCATTCACACACAGACGGCCACACACAAACACAGAGGCAGACAGCCCCACACAGACAGCCACAAACACAGAGGCAGACAGGGTGGGATTTTTTTTTAACTTTGGGAGTCAGGTGGGGGACAATACCAGTCACTTCCTCAATCTGATCGACTGAGCCAATCAGTCTTCCCAGGAGGGGTTGGTCCTTGCTCTAGACGCTGAGAAGGCGTCTAGATTGCTTACACTGAGGCTACATGGGCAGACACAAGCTAGAAAGAGGTTTCCCTCCGTTTTTATGTCGAGCATCTTAGCCCTCTATCAGCAACCATCGGCCAGGGTATTTAGCACGGGCTTCCTATCCACGTTGTTTTCCGTACAAAAGGGCATACACCAAGGGTGTCCCTTATCCCCGCTTATCTTCATTATTTGCCTTGAACCCCTGACACACCTCATAAATCAATGCACACACATAAAAGGTTTGAATACCCCAGGAATGAGGAATATGTACCTGTATCTTAGGGTAAAAAATATTTTATTGTTGGCGGTGCAAATCAAACAAGGTCATCCCAAAGTAGCTCTGCTATCCATTCACCAGGCACTCTCACCCAAACGAGCCAAACCTTTATCTAAGGGCTACAATGCCATCTTAACAGGCCGTTCCCTGGAGAAACTGCCCTACATGGATCAATGGGAAAGGGAACTGGGGTGCAAGGTTTCCTTGTCACAATGGCATGAAGCCATGGTCAATACTAAACGGGCCTCCAGGAGTCTCTCGCTCTGGGAAGTCTACTGCAAAATCACGAGATGGTATCTGGTGACACACAGGTTGTCCCACATATACAGTGGCACATCTGGGCTATGTTGGAGATGTGTAGGGGGGACGGGAACTACGTTGCATATGTTGTGGGACTGTCCTCTCCTTGGTGTCTTCTGGGAACTAATTGGTTCACTCATTTCCACAATAACACTTCCACCTCCCATTAAAAACCAGAATACTACCGCCTCCATATGATCCCAAATTGAGGAGTCAACCCTCACTACAAGGTGATACTTAACATACTCATAGTGGCAAAAGTAAGCTTAGTGCTCAACTGGAAAAGCAAAACAATCCCCTCAATGGAAGTCATAAGCTACAAACTAGACACAATTAGCTCATACGAACAAATGGCTCCCCTCCATTATGTTACTAATTTCATGAAAACGGGTAACGCAACGAGTAAATGTTCATTGCACATCCTTCATGGGAATTTTACATTGCATAACATGATGTGTTGTAATAAGATAGTGCTGTTTCCTACCAGAGCAAGTATTGTATCTATAAAGTAAATTGAGAGCTATCCGCTCGCTTCCACTGTTTAATGTGGAATGGATACATGCTTCATAAATCGCTTGTGCCGAATGTACGATATTCGTTGTTATGGTGTACATTGTGTCGACTCAAAAATGTATATATGAGGAAAAAAAACAAAACTCACCAGGAGCAACATCAAATCCTCTTGAACTCCTGATCGTATCACGGAGTAGCCGCAGTCGGGTAAATCTTTGTTGGCTCTCTCGGTCCCAGAGTCACCTCTCAATGCGTTATTTAATTGAGTAATGGAGGTAGAGAGGCATCGAACGATACCAAGGACTTGAGGGAGCTCAATGTACCGACAGAAAGCACCATCATTTTAGATGACTGGGATTTCCCACACAGTGCAATAGAACTCTGTTCCAGATCAGAGGGTGGCAAAAACTTTACTTCTAGCAAACACCTATCTGAGCGCTTTTTGGAAAGAATGGGCACTCGCAAGAGAGATTTCTGAGGACGGTATTTGTTTGGGGAATCCTGTTTTTTATTAATAAATGTTAATCAGGGACAAGGTGGCTGTTAATTAAATCTGGTCAGGTACAGACACTTGGTCCACAGGTATGTCGAAATGTTCATTGTTCTCCTGTTGAGAACCCAGGTATAAAAGTGTAATTTACTCAATAAAACCCATTCCCTTCACCCTACACTTAGTCTCTGCTAGCGCTTGGATCAACACGGTAGCTATAATAATTAAGTTATAATTACGGAGGAAAAGGAAGCCCTTGCCCTCAATACCTGGGTCCCCTGCAAGTAGGTCACCACATCCTGTGAATGTTCTTCCATCTTTAACCGATGAGAGTAATTCCTAATAACAGATGTTGTGCCTGTGGAAAAGATCGTTTTAAAGCTGTGGGAAGTGCACTTGTAGCATGCAGGATTGGTATTGTGATCAGTGGGTTTTGAATGAGGACTATACTCAAATCCAAGGATTATACGTTATTTTTGCTAATATTGTCTGTCATCCTCATTGGTGTGGGTAAGTTAGTAATATACTTAACTATTTCATTAACCTCCTCTTCACTTCCTTCCCTGGACATTAACACGTCATCAATGTACCTATAGTATCCCTTGATTTTGTGTTGGTAATGTTCTAGAAAGTACTGTCCCTTGTTTTGGAACAATAATATCAAACCTTAGTGTGATTCTGTCTAGTAGCATCTTTGACACAGGTATGTAGACTTTCAAGTGGCTCTTTAAACCTGCCTATGGACGAGACCTGACAGGACAAGGTAAGTGCAAACCAGGGTTTGCCCCATACCAGGGAATGGTGCCAGGGTTACCATCATAAATATTAAATCGGCCTGTAGTGTTTATGATGGTTGAAGTAAACCTTTAGGAACCTAGGTTAACATTGGTTGAAATGTTAGAACCCAAATCATTGTTTGTGAAGTTAGGACAAAGAATACACTTTGAAACCAGGAGAGTTTATTAAAACAAAAGACAGAAAAAATAAAATAAAAAAACAGGGTAAAAGGAACAAAATTGCAACAGTCAGTTGAAGACATTTTAATATTAGGGTTGAAATGTCAGAATCAACCATAAACTATTCATTTTTATTTTCGTTCAAAGCATTCATATACAATCCTTGCAACTTTAAGAAAAACAAATTAAGGGGAGTCTATTCACCAAACATTGAGTACTGAATTGACAACCCTCTGTCGGGGTATTTTAGCCTATATTTGTCAACTTTCAGCTCACAGTTTAGGGAAGATGCTACAAGAATCTGCTACCATCTGCCAATAAACAACCATGTGAAGTCAAAAAATAAAATCATCCTTTATCCTAACATCTCAGAGATTTATTTTAAAAAGTGCTGATTAATGAGCTGCTTGCACCTTTTTTTTTTTTTTTGCAAGTGAATTAATTAAAACTACTGCAATTAATGTTCAACCCTGTTTTCAAGTATCTCCAAATTATACTAGTTTGGGGGGTGATAGAGGGCATAAAAGTCAATGGCAAAGAAAAGGGAAAAATAAATTAGTATATCACTGGAACCTTGTGTTCATACATTTATATTTTGCCGTTTCATCACATGAAGTGGCTGTTCCCCCATTCCAAAAGTCACGGCGTAGACTAAATTAATGGACATTTAATGTTTTAATGTGCCAATTATTTTCCCCTTCCCAAGCCAAAAGTATGTGTAGCTGTAATTACCCTCAACGTGTGTTTTGGCATGTGTCACTTTGGAAATCTACCACAATTTACAAATCCTTATTAAGTTAATATGGGGGATCCTAATACAAAAGCTATGCGATATTAACAGCCATTTATATAATTTGCCAAGTAGATTTAAAAAAAAAAAAAAAAAATAGTATCTGTAAAACATTAGCAAAGCATAAAAAGGACCAAAAATAAAAAAAAATATATATTTATATTAAATTAGAAGTAGCCCATAGTGACCTCTCAATACATACATTTATTTTTATTACAAATTCAAATAGCATCTCTAATGACACAGACTTTTACACCAGTCAAAATATCCAGAAAATCTGATTTCAATTACATGAGATAACGTCACCATAATTTTACAGGATATATCAAAGTTTACCATGTTTTGTTTTGTTTTTGCTGGAAGAACTTGAAGGCATGGTTGAAATTTTTCCATTGGAACATGAAGCTAACATAACAGCTGTTATCATAAAGTGCAAAAAGTTTATTTCTCAAAGGTGCAACTAAAGCCAGAATGATTCAGTTTGCTACCAAGTAGATTTTTTTTTTTTCCATGTGCAAGATCAGCAAACCACCAGATTACAGTACTTCACATTTATTTTAAAGCATTTCCATAAGTACCACTCGAACATGTTTCTTGGGTTTTGTGAATGAACCCAGCCAGTCTGCAGGAGCAAAGTGCATGCACATTATTAATGCAATTTCCCCCATACAGGTTCAGCATCCATGAAAATTATCTGGAATACTGAGACTGGAAGGCCAACACTATGATAAACGGGGATACAGAGACTATGTTGCATTTCCCATTGAAACCTAATATAGACACCTGGAAACAACAAATCAATCACATCAATTCATTTATCCAATACATGAACATTTCAGTACAAGTTAATTTAGGTAATCAAACGGGAATGTGTGCAATTGTTGTGCAAAAAGCCACTGATCAATAAAAAAAATAAAATATTAATAAGTGATTTTGAGAGGTTTAATTGGCATTTTTCAGGTTAAAAAAAAAACAACAAAAAAAAAAACCCAGATAATTCTGTATGTATGCAACTACAAAATGCATTTAGGAAGCTGTATTGCTGCTGAAATGTTTTCCTGAATTTAAAAGGCTGCATTAGCTATATGCATGTGAATAACTGAACAGGATGCTTTCAAACCAAATTTGCCTAGAAACCCAAGTCAATACATTTAATACTATTTTTCAAGGTCACCTTTATTTTAACAAAATCCAAAACAGCAATAAAGTATTACTATACATGTTTCACTTCCTAAGAAAATACAAGTAAATCAAGCCTTCATGCTATAGCCTTCCAATACAGAATATTAAACTATTCAGGCAGTTCACAAAACCCAAACCATGTAAACTTTTCGATGGAGACCAGCACAATCACAAAATGGGTCAGAAGTATTAAAACATACATGTGCAAGACTAAAAAAAATGCTATTGTTGGAAAGGTAAACACCATGCCAGCAGGCCAGTTTATTCTGCTACAGTGCCAGAAATTTAAGAGTCCTCCGGCAAAAGAAAAATTAAGTACGTAAAAACACAAACAAGTTACAAAAACCTTTAATATTAACTCTACTAGTCCTGTAGATCAGGCTATCTGGAGGTGTAAGACACGTCTCCAGATACTTAGCGGCACTAGGCAAGAACATTTCTCCCCAGTAAGAAACACTATATTTTTAGGTCTACTGTATTTATAGAATCATAAAGCATTAACAATAAGCTACATAGGATGGTGTAAATTAGCCCATATTGTTAGCACTTCCTATCTTAACAAGAACACCAATGCTAACAATCTTCTGGACATTCCATTCTTTACTACAGCTTTTTTAGATCAAAAGGTTAATTCCATGCACTCCGATCACTTCCACCTTTAGACATGGTCGCAAGGAATGTGAATGTGCAGCGTTTAAAAACGCTGCAAATACAGAGATTTTGAACTTTGCTGCCAGGGTGTAACTCCAGGGCTCCCAACAGTCCTGCTTTTGGGGTCCAGTCTCAACATACTAATTTAGTTCCCTGGTTCCAATGCTGGGAGGTATGTAAATGTACCTTCGGCAACCACCAGTCAGTCGGGAACTCTGTTCTGCGCTTACTAAAGTATAATCTGTGCATAAAACATATCTTTTGTTGCAACGGACATACATCAGCCTCTACGCCTGCAGACCGTGTTGTAACGTGCCTGCAGTGTAAATGTTAATGTTTTGCAGCACATAGCATAGTACATGCCTCAACAAAGCAACTGTCAGAGGGATCTGACGCAGTTCATTAAAAAATACTGCACATGCAGCCTCAGTCCAGTAATAGTTTCCTATGAGAAGCATTAGATTGGCCAAATGATAAAGGCATATGATGAAAATGTGGGCAGATAAGGCTGCAGGTAGCCGTAAATATAATGCATCTATAAGATAAAAAAAAATAAAAAGATTTAAAAAAAAAAATAATAATAATTTAAAATGGTTATATTTAATCCATATACATAAATACCAGCGATGGCATACCAGAGATATGAAGTGAAAAAGATCATTAAAATGAGGACAGTGGCCAGAGGAAAAACAGAGATGGAAGAGGAGACCATTGAGGAGACCAATGAGCCTGTGCACTTTCAGATCGGTTACTTGATTTCTGCAGAAGTCTGAAAGTAATTTGCATTGCTGAAAAAGTTTGAAAACTAGAACAAAATATGGCATCTCCAGTAACTGGTTTAAAACCAAGAACTGTGCAGAACCAATGACAGCTGAGCCAATGACAGGCTTAGAAGACTGATGTTGAAACTGCCTGCAATCTAAAACGGAGACCTATAAAAAAAAACCTGCAAACTGTCAGTCAGCAATCTAATATCAAGACTTAAAAAGGAGCACTGAACAACCAGCCAGCCAATCTAATATTCAAGGACCACTAAAGTTACCCAGACCACTTCATCTCAATTTAGTAGTCTGTATGATGTGATCCTTTTCTTTTAACTCCAAAATGTAAAACATTGCAGGGTTAATTTAACCTCTAGTGGCCGTCTTCCTCATAGACATACCGAGACGCCGCATTGCGTGCTGAGCAGCAAGGAATGCGGGCGCCATCTTGGACCGGTCGCCGCTTTACTGAAGCTATTGAAGAACCCTTGGAAAGTCCATCTCACAAAAAAGTAAGTGACGGATTTGGGGCACTTATAGTCCTTAATACCCCTACCCCAGCACACAGTGTTAATACCCCTACCCCAGTATACTGGGGTAGGGGTATTAAGGACTATGTGTGCTGGGGTAGGGGTATTGACACTGTAGGGGTATTAAGGACCATAAATGCCCCAAGTCCTTCACTTACCTTTTGTGAGATGGACTTTCCAAGGGTTTTTCAATAGCTTCGGTAGAGCGGCGACCGGTCCAAGATGGCGTCCGCATTCCTCGGCGCTCAGCACGCAATGCCATAGACGTGCGGCGTCTAGGTATTCTATGTCTATGGTCTTCCTGACTAGAGTAAAAGTCTAACTCTGACGCGGACACCGACAGAATACAATGTTTTCCAATGAGGAAGCTTGGATGTGCATGCACATCAAGCCCTCAATGCTCCCCTAAGGCGAGCATTGGATTGGACCATTGAGGATGCCATGCCTCCTTGATGATGTTCCAGGAGGTGGAAAGGGGAGCCTTGAATACAGGTTTGTATTCCTAATGCTATAGTGTTCCTTTAAAAGGAACACTGCAAGCACCATAACTACTAAAGTTCGCTGAGTGTCCAGGCACCCACCCATTGTAAGGAGTCAAAATTGTTTTTGAACAGTTTTACTTCTTTCCTGGGCCTGCTCAACGCCTCCTGCTAAGGACTTAGCTCACTGGATTAGAGCGATAACCTATGTGGGAGCGGGAAGCAGCATCTAATGGACCCCAGGTAAAACTTCAAATTGTTTCACAACAGTTTGACTCCTTAAAATGAACGATTGCCAGGGCACTACAAGCACCACAACATCAAAGTGTAGTAGTTATGGTGCTTGGAGTATTCCTACATGATTTATAAATAAGGAGCCAGCCATTTATCTAAAATCAGCATAAAAACACCCAAAGCTCTACATCTAATCTCAAGCCCTTTGAAGAAGCACTAAGCAGCCAACTAATATTAAGTGAAAGCCAACCCTGCACAATCTACAATTAGACATCAACTACCAGAATTAAAACGTCCATCAAACCTGTGATTTATGACTAATAGATCACCAGTGCCTGACCCAAATGATAACAAAAGAACACTTACAATTACTTAAATGCAAAACATTAAAAATACTAACCTACCTATCCAAATTCCATCACACCGACCAAAGGATACTATGATCTAAAAAGTGAGTTGCTAACTACTTTGCATTGTATGAGAAGAATCCAAGTGAGCAGAGTAAGAAACTGGTTCAAGATTGGTACCAAATGTGCTCTTTTGGCCTAATTTGAAATTAGCAGACAATTTACAGAATAGTGATTAAATAGTGAGAGACAACCATTCCTTTTAACGTCTGATATCATGAAACAGTGATACAACAATTTCAAGCTTCAATCCCAAATCCAGCCTCCTTATAAGAAATATCTTAAACCTCCTTATCACAATGCAAACAGAGGCAAAGGAGGAAACTTTTCAGGGACATGATTGTGATGACCACTAAATCCAATAGAAACATCAAGCAAGTAGTTGTGAGATTTAGTGGTTGATATTTAGGAATCAGTTATCAAAACTGGGGAAGGTACATTTTTATGAACTCCCAATAAAATATAAAGAGGTATTTTGTCCAGATCTTTGGCCTAAATTTGGGGCTGCAAAATGAATGACTTCCCCAGCAGCTTGTTATAGGGAAAAGTACATTTATTTGGGAGGTCACTGTTTTTTGGGAAGCATTTTTACACTTTGAGTGATGGTTAACTGCCGCCCGGTGGGTTTTTATAGACAGACAAGTAATACTCAAAGGATACATACAGTAAGTATAAGTAGGATTTTAAAAATATTATAAACACCCCAAAACACACTAACGTGAGCAGGGAGGGTTTTTTTTGTTTAGGAGAGTGTATTGCCAGCAAAATGCTAGTAGCATTAAAAAGACTGACATGAAAATGCGGCTATAAGGGAAACTAATTATAGCTCAATTTATAATCCCAAATGCCATTACAGCACTAGGTAAATTGCTAACTTGGATGTAAAGGTAAAGCCTGGTACCCATGCTATGTGTTTAGGAAGAATTTGAGATTAGAATTAAAGGGACACTATAGTCACCAGAACAACTACAGCTTATTGAATCTGTTCTGGTGAGTAGAATCATTATCTTCAGGCTTTTTACTGTAAAAACGGTCTTTTTACAGAAAATGCAATGTTTACACTACAGCCTAGTGATAACTTCATTGGCCACTCCTCAGATGGCCGTTAGAGATCCTTCCTGGGTCATGGCTGCCTAAAATGCATCCAAACTTTCAGTATCACCTCCCTCTGCATGCAGACACTGAACTTTCCTCATAGATATTCATTGATTCAATTCATCTCTATGAGGAGATGCTGCTTGGCCAGGGCTGTGTTTGAATCATGCTGACTCTGCCCCTGATCTGCCTCTTTGTCAGTCTCAGCCAATCCTATGGGGAAGCATTGTGATTGGATCAGGCTACCACTTCTGATGATGTCAGCAGACTGCTTGTTTTTCTGAGTCTAACAGCATGCAGAGTTACAGCTTCAAGCTGAATACAGTAAGATTTTTTTTCCCTTTATTTATGGAGGCATGAGGGGCCCAGGGGGGCTAGATTGTGGTTTAACACTATAGGGTCAGGAATACATGTTTGTGTTCCTGACCCTATAGTGATCCTTTAAGGAGCCTTCATTCAAGTTGGTGTGGACCGCTAATCTTAAATCTCAGCCAGTGAATGAATCATGTTAGTTAACGTCCACAGCATCCAAAACATCTTTCTTTCCTGGGTCTTTAAATATACTGTGCTCTTATTAACTGTTCACTTTAAACAGTGACATTTAAAATAAATCTCTTGACACCAATAATTTAAGCCCTTACTAATAGTAGGAGATTTAGGTCTTTATTTGAGAGAATAGATAGGATTTGTAATCTGGATATTTTTCTATATTTTAGAGGTCTGTTTCTGGGGGGATTATTTCCTGTTTATTTTTTGGTCTGGTTCTGTGGGGAGGATATTTTCCTGTTTATTTTTTGGAGGTCTGTTTCTGGGGGAGGATATTTCCTGTTTATTTTTGAAGGTCTGAGTTCTGTGGGGAATATTTCCTGTTTATTTTTTGAGGTCTGGTTCTGTGGGGAGGGATATTTCCTGTTTTATTTTTTGAAGGGTCTGGTTCTGTGGGGAGGATATTTCCTGTTTTATTTTTTTTGAAGGTCTGGTTCTGTGGGGATATTTCCTGTTTATTTTTTGAAGGTCTGGTTCTGTGGGGGAGGGATATTTCCTGTTTATTTTTTGAAGGTCTGGTTCTGTGGGGGAGGATATTTCCTGTTTATTTTTTGAAGGTCTGGTTCTGTGGGGGAGGATATTTCCTGTTTATTTTTTGAAGGTCTGGTTCTGTGGGGGAGGATATTTCCTGTTTATTCTTTGGAGGTCTGGTTCTGGGGGAGGATATTTCCTGTCTATTCTTTCGAGGTCTGGTTCTGGGGGAGGATATTTCCTGTTTATTCTTTGGAGGTCTGGTTCTGGGGGAGGATATTTCCTGTTTATTCTTTGGAGGTCTGGTTCTGGGGGAGGATATTTCCTGTTTATTTTTTGAAGGTCTGGTTCTGTGGGGGAGGATATTTCCTGTTTATTTTTTGAAGGTCTGGTTCTGTGGGGGAGGATATTTCCTGTTTATTTTTTGAAGGTCTGGTTCTGTGGGGGAGGATATTTCCTGTTTGGTTTTTGGAGGTCTGGTTCTGGGGGAGGATATTTCCTTTTTATTTTTTGGAGGTCTGTTTCTGGGGGGGGAGGCTATTTCCTGTTTATTTTTTGGAGGTCTGGTTCTGGGGGGGGATATTTCCTGTTTATTTTTTGGAGGTCTGTGTCTTCTTGGGGAGCAGCACGGCCTGTATATTGGGCAGCACCCCTCCCTGGGCGATGGTCACCCCTCCCAGCAGCTTGTTGAGCTCCTCGTCGTTGCGGATGGCCAGCTGCAGGTGGCGGGGGATGATGCGGGTCTTCTTGTTGTCCCGGGCCGCGTTGCCGGCCAGCTCCAGGATCTCGGCGGACAGGTACTCCAGCACGGCCGCCAGATACACCGGGGCCCCGGCCCCCACGCGCTCCGCGTAGTTCCCCTTCCGGAGGAGGCGGTGCACGCGGCCCACCGGGAACTGCAGGCCGGCCCTGGAGGAGCGGGACTTGGCCTTGGCCCGGGCCTTGCCGCCGGATTTCCCTCGGCCGGACATCTCTGTGCGAAGCGGGAGACCTGAGGGGAGACACGGACAGTGAGCTGGCGGCCGGGCACGGAGGGCCGCACCGGGGATCCGCACTGGGATCGCTTACCGAGACTCCCCGAGAGAAGCTCTCACACTCCAGGCAGGATTCCCCGCGCTCCCAGGACCGATCCTCACTGCTCGAGCTCCAGCGAAGCACTGACAGCAAGCCACGCCCACCAGCCCGCCCCTACCAGCAAGCCCCACCCATCCGCCCGCCTCCTACACGCTGCCTACTCTGCTGCTGCCTGCCATTGGCCAGCGTAGGAGCGGGATTCTGCTTCTTATTGGTGGAAACTATTCACTGTAGATTTGCATATAGATTTGCATGTCCCCGCCCACCAATTGTGTTAGACACTTTGGCCCTATTTAGTCCCTGGACTGAAAGACTATCCTGAGCGGGAAGCTGGGGGAGGAGTCTAAGGAAAGGGGCGGAGTCCAAGGATGAGAGGGATAGAGATACAGAGGGTAAAGGAGCATTAGGTGGAGGGAGTTAGGGTAAAGGGCTGAGATTGGAATGGTGGAAATAGAATGAGGGGATAGAAACTAGACAAGGGGGACAGGTAGTTACATTGTTCCCAGTTTCCCCTTACCTACTTTTGCTATTGTTTATTTTAAATTATTTTAATTTTTATTACAATGTTAAATACTTCAATAAAAACAATTTAAAAAGGAAAATAATTACCAGATTTTACTAATTACATGACGTAAAGTCATGATTTTATAAAGGACACGGAGGCGAGTATTAGGCTTTATCTCTTTCTTTATTCCTCAGCAGCAAAGAAAGGATATTGATATTTTCAAAATAGCAATAACAAGAAAAACAAATACCCTTAAGGGTTAACCATATAACATTCCATATACATTAACCAATAGGATCAGTCCTTGTACTATATCCCCTCATGTGACCTAATCTACTTCCTCTTTCTGGCTGACGCCGAAGCTGAACACATCAACAAGGAAAAATTCTCAAACTTGGGTAATCTCCAGTAGGGGTTCCGGCGATTGTTCCGATATAATGAGGAGATAGCGGATGATCCCGGTTTTTTCATCACAGGGTTAAGCTGTAGGAGACAGAGAGATATATGGTAAAATATATTCGAATATCGTTGTCATGCATATATGCTGTATCGGTCTTTTAACAAACGTTTATATCTGAAACATTGTTTACTTCATTCTAGTAAATTCAGTTTAAATTACAATTATTATTATATAACCTTGAATCTAAACATCCAAAACACTTTAACCTGTTTATGAGCAAGTGGGTGGGAAAAATACATGTATGGCTTACCTTTCAGTGGGCGGGCTAATACTCGCCTCCGTGTCCTTTATAAAATCATGACTTTACGTCATGTAATTAGTAAAATCTGGTAATTTTATTAAAGGACACGGAGGCTCCTATTAGGCTAGTTTAAAGCTGTGAGATGACCATAGACGAGATATGTTCTGTTGGTCGAAAGTAGTATTCTTTGAACGTCGATTCTCGGGACCAATCAGCTGTGCGGAGGAGGTCTTCCAGTTTACAGCCAATGGAGAATGCTTTAGAGGCCATAGCGCCTCTAGTAGAATGTGCTCCTTAAACTGCTGTGTCGATGTTAGCAGTTGACATTAATCCATTTCACCCAGCGTGCCAGAGTTCCCGTGGATACTGGTTGATGAGGTTTCCTCACTGCTAAGAACAGATCATGTGTGGTTGGGTTCCGAAATGACTGGGTCCGCAATTCGTATTCCCACAGGCATGCCACCGGGCAGAGGTTAGCGTTGTGAGGAAAGGAGGGATAGAAGACTGAAGTGATTTTCGACTTTGTACGTCTGGTGATATTAAATAGGACACCATCCGGCGTGAATGATCGTGCATCGATATCCAGGGCTCGCACATCTGATACCCTTTTGCAGGAAATTAAGCACAGAAGCATCGCTAATTTTGCAGACACTTGTTTGAATGTGAGGTCCGAGTTTGGAGGCCAGTCTTGCAACAAACGAAGGACCATATTCACATCCCATAAGGCCGTGTAGCGGGGTTGTGGTGGACATACAAATTTTATGCCTCGTAGAAGACGACAGATCCATAAGTGTTTCCCGGCCGGGAAACCTTCCCAACCGTTGTGCCCAGCTGAAATCGCCAACCTGTACACGTTTATGGTGCGGTAAGCCAAGCCTTGATCGTAAATGGTAGTAAGGAAACCCAGAACCTGATTTATAGGAGCACGTATGGGATCCACGTGTTGTTCCACGCACCAACTACACCATGTGTTCCAGGCATGAGCATAGGATCGTCTTGTCCCTGGGGCCCAAGCTCCTGCCAATAAGTCCAAAGTTGTTTGTGAAACATTCGGCATGGCCCAGGGTCCCCGGAGAGGAGCCATGTTAGGAGTCTGATATGGCCTTGCACTAGAAGTGGGTGAGAGTTCCCATCGGGGTCTGATAATAATTCCGTGCCTCCTGGGATCAATCTGGGGAGGTCGATTGACATTTCCATGAGCAAAGGGAACCATGGCTGTGCCGTCCAGAATGGTGTTATTAAAACCAACAATGCTCGGGAGCGCTGTAAGTGTAGGAGAGTTCGCGCTATGAGTGAGAAGGGAGGAAAGGCGTATAGCCTGGTGTTCGGCCAATTTTGTAGGAAGGCATCCACTGCCGTGGCGTCTGGGTCCGGTCTCCAGCTGAAGAATGAGGGGAGTTGAGCATTCAGCCGGGAGGCAAAAAGGTCGATGTGCATAGGTCCCCAGAGTTGGTGGAGCTTCTGGAATATTGTGCGATTCAATCGCCATGCGCTGTTGTCTCGTAAATGCCTGGAGTTCCAATCCGCTACGGTGTTGGAGAGTCCTGGGAGGTATTCCGCCTGTACTGATATGTTGCGACTCAGGCTGAAATGCCAAAATTCCGTCGCCAAGTTTGTGAGGGTTGAGGATCTCGTGCCACCCAAGTGGTTGATGTAGCGGACGGCTGAGATATTGTCCATGCGCAGAAGTATGGAACAATTGGTCGTGTGTCCGAGGAGGCTCCGTAGGGCAAATGACCCAGCCAGGAGTTCCAAACCAATGATGTGGAGTTCTTTTTCTTCTGAAGACCATTTTCCACCTGTAGAGGTAGGACCACAACGAGCCCCCCATCCAAGTCTGCTCGCGTCGGATTCTATAACGAGATCCGGAGTGGTTCCGAAGATTGCCTTGCCGTTCCATGCTTCCATGTGTTGAAGCCACCATGCCAGTTCCTCTTTTGCCGCGCAGTCTAGAGGTACAGAATCTGAATAGGATTGACCCAAGCGTAGGTGGGTTGCTTTGAGCTGTTGCAGGGATCTGTAGTGGAGAGGGCCTGGGAAGATCGCTTTTATAGAGGAAGAGAGCAGGCCAATTATCCTGGCTAGCTTTCGGAGGGTTAAGACTGGTCGAGTCAAAGTCCTCCGGATTTCCTTCTTGATAAGTTTTACTTTCGCGGTAGGTAAACTGAGTGTTCCGTGCATTGCGTCTATATCGAAGCCCAGAAACTCTATCGAGTGGGAAGGTTGCAGGATCGATTTGTCCCAATTGATTAGGAAACCCAGGTTTTGCAGAAGGATCAACGCCCAGGATAGGTGTTGGTTCAGTAGTTGGGTGTCCTGGGCCATGATCAGCATGTCGTCGAGGTATATGATCAGACGTACACCTCTGCTGCGAAGGAGTGCGACTACCGGTTTCAGCAGCTTGGTGAAGCACCACGGGGCTGAAGACAGGCCGAAAGGGAGGCAGCGGAAATGCCACATCGTCTGTTCCCATTGGAATTGAAGTAGGTGTTGACAGTCCTCGGCAATCGGTATCGTGAGGTATGCGTCTTGGAGGTCCAATTTTACCATCCAGTCTCCCAGTCTTAGCAGGTCTCAGAGGCAGTGTATCCCTTCCATCTTGAAGTGATGGTATGTGACAAAGGCGTTGAGAGGCCGCAAGTTTATTACTGGCCTCGTGCCCCCACCTTTCTTGGGTACTACTTTTTTTTTTACCATTTTGAGAAAACCCCAAAGGTGAAACGCGTAAATGGTTTTAATAAGTGTATTTTAATCAATAAAAGTTATTTTTGGTTACCTTTTAACTAGGACCAATTGTATACTTATTTGTATTGTATTTTATACACTTTCTTTTACCCCTGGCATTTTATATATATATATTTTTTCATATATATTTTTTGTATTTAATACCATAGTTTTATCCACCCTTTTTTATTATTTTTTTATTATTTTTATTATACAATTTTTTACTTGGAAGTATATTCCGTCCAAAGAAATCCTTAGGTGGGGATAATTCCACCAGCGCTGTGGCAATAGAGCAGTATCCATCTGCTCTATTCTTGTAAGTATAATTCACTTATAGATATTACTTTGTTGTTCATACTGAGAGCACTATTTGCTGTCTCATATATACTCCGTGGACACCTACCACCTGATACTGGAAAGGCGGACCTATCTTCCAAGCATCAAGAAAATAACGCATATGTGAAGTAGATCCTAGCCGACACCACAGGAATTCCAAGCCGGACAGACGGACCATCCAAGTATATCCGTTAGTGGGGATTAAACCACTAAGTGCCTCTTCTCCCAGAGCTGGCAATAAGCTCCACCAAATGTGAGTGAAATACATTTCCTTTGATTATATACCACATCAGGACCAACAATATTTCACCATAGGCAGCTTTCTTTCTTGTTTTTTATCTTCACATATATGGACTACCTACCACACGGACGGAGCCATACTTGAGGATTAATATCGTGGTACTACATATCAGTGAGACTGTTTTTATTCTATATCTTTAAGAAAATCCGGATGAACTTTATTTGATTTTATTATCGTTGTTTATTTTATAAATACACGATCTTATATATTTCAACATATCTGTTTTACCTAAGCGCAGCCCTTGACCCCCTCTTTTTTCGCATTTCCTACATAAGGGTTCCGTGAGGGATCTCCCTTTTTGGGTTGCTGCTCAATTGAACTAGCGCAGACTCTTTCTCTGTTTTGTTTCACTAGGAAAATGTTGCTTAGGAACCCGGGGGCGGTAATGGGAACTTTGTATCTCGCACATTTCTCCTCTAGTGTGCGAATCTCTTTTGACACCAGCTGTTTGTCTTGTGGGGAAAAAACAATCCGATGTGGCAATGAGAGTTGAATCGGCTGTTGTGTGAATTCGATGTGGTAGCCGAGGATGGTCTCTAGGACCCATGTATCTGAGGTTAGGTTGTGCCAAGCATCCTGGAAATGAAACAATCTGCCCCCCACGTGTGCCAAGGGAAGGGTGTGTAATGGGAAGTGACTCACCATAAGGCCGACGGCCATAGGAGGATCCCCTGGTTCCACGTGGATGCCACGACCTGCCCCTGGTCGGGAAGAATGGTGACTGTGCCCTTGGTTCGGGCGGATGGAACCGTGTTGTGGCGGAGCCTCAATAGCCCCGGAACAGAGTCCGGGAGGGGCGGCCGGACAGAAGGCCCCGCTGTCTGCTGGCCCCACCGAAAACCTTTTGCGAGAACACTCGCTTCATATTATGTTGTGCCTTATCTAGTGCCGTAAACGTGTTGACATAGTTGCCCAGGGTCTTAACAAAGTCGTCTCCGAATAAGAGACCTTTTGCCTGTGTGCCAGGCTCGGAGATTGCCAAATGTACTAGTTTTGGCTCGATTTTCATTAATATGGCTTTACGCCGTTCTGTGGCCAAAGCGGTGTTGGCATTTCCAATTAGGCATATGCCTCTCTGAATCCATCCTCTGATGGCCATTAAGTCAATTGAGGTCCCCCCAGTAAGGGCCGCTTCGACCATATCGAAGATTTTAGCTATAGGCCCGAGTATGTCCAGTATCTTGTCTTGGCAGTGCTTTAAGGAGTAGTCCAAACCCTTCTTGGCCCTCCATCCTGACTTACCCAGAAACTGAGCGATCTTGGGGTCCACCTCAGGGGTCACGCAGGCCATGTCTGGGACAGTGGGGCGTGGGCATTCCGCCCTCAGCTTGTTTCTTGTGGCCTTGTCAAGGGGTTTTCTGACCCTAGTCGCAATGTAAATGGCCACATGAGTTGTGGGGTACCAATCCGCTGAACGCGGATTATGCAAGGTGTTGGGATCAAAAAGGGGTTCCCCTTGGGGATCTAACACAGCGGATTCATCCGTCTCGTGCTCAGCGTCTAACGCTGGAGGCGCGGTTTCGCCGCGTTCGGGGGACGAATTATCTGAAAGGATTGGGTCGATGTTATCGGACCCATCCGACACCTCCTCTGAGTCCGAATCGGAGTCGGATGAATCAGATAGGGCTTTTGCCCTCTTCCAAGTCCGCACCGTTTTTGCCCGGCGGGGGGCTCTTTTACGTGGGAGCACCACGTCATCAATCTCAACAGGGCGCAACCTGTCCGTCTTACTGGTTTTGGAGGTAGCACCTGGCAGATGGTGCGATTTGCACGTAGCCTTTCGGCCGCTAGGGACCAGTGGCTTGTTATCAGAGGATATAGGGGGTGCAGAGCCAGGGGTGTGGCTGGATGCCCTGATAGCGGAGGAGATAGAGTGGGACAGGGTGTCCGACATCGCCCCCATGGCGGTAAAAATGGCCTGTGTAACTGACCTACTCATCGTAGCATCCAGGAGCGCCTGGAACTCCTCTGAGTTCACGTGCTCCTGGGATGCGTCCCCAAATCCCCCAGTGGCAGCAGTGTCTGTAGGCATCACGCTTGCTGGGTTTATTAGAGGTGGGGGGGGGGTAACCGTCTGTTTATCAGCAGAGGATTGCATAGTGGTCAGGATGTATCACAATAATAGTATAAAGGGAAGCTACTGAAAACAGAACTGTCACTAGTGGACAAATGCACACTGACAGCACTACAGTGGTTTGTGTACTAGCAGCACAAGGTAATTGGCTGAACACTAGGCTGAACAGCTAGGGCAAGGCACAATGATCAAAAAGGCACATATAATATGGTAGCTTACCGAGTGTTCCCTCAGGAATGACTCCTGTGGGACACTGGTAAGCTGCCCAACACCTCCCTCAGCCAATCAGCCTGCGCCCCTCCCTGATAGAGTGGCGTGAGCCGCGGGTGAAAAGAGCGGCAAATCTGCCAACCCTTAAGATGGCCGCCGCGATGCGCGGGAGTGAACCGCGCATGCGCGAGCGGTGTAAGTGGCCGTCAGAGCAACAGCCGTCCGTCTGGCGGCTAAACGGCTCGTTCCGGTCCGGGGGGGTGGGGGGGATTCCTGGGAGCGTCTCCCACCCGGGGAAGTGGAGCGAAAAAACGGGTTATAAACAACCCGAAACGGCAGTGCAGGATGGGGCTTGCCTCAGGGGAGAGGCAAGTACCCTGCACTGGGAACAGTTTTTAAAGAAACACAAGTAGTAAGCAAAAGTAATATACAGAAAAAAATAATATACAGAAAAATAATATACAGAAAAAAATAATATAAAGATAACAATATTAAACCAGAAGAAACTGAAAAACACAGTTAACAAAACACAATATTTTGTGGAGCTGAAAAAAATTATGTGGTACTTAGCTGAGGCAGCAGCAAAGAAAGAGGAAGTAGATTAGGTCACATGAGGGGATATAGTACAAGGACTGATCCTATTGGTTAATGTATATGGAATGTTATATGGTTAACCCTTAAGGGTATTTGTTTTTCTTGTTATTGCTATATTGAAAATATCAATATCCTTTCTTTGCTGCTGAGGAATAAAGAAAGAGATAAAGCCTAATAGGAGCCTCCGTGTCCTTTAATAAAATTACATTGTAATCTAGGATGACAAAACACTCAAGTCCATTAGGAGCAGGTTGAGCTTGCTGCTGTATACTACCAGTGACACTTGAATCTATTTTAAATGGGAGATAGACATTTTGTTATTGATTCTAGTGTGAGTAGGCTACCAATATACAGTTATTAAAGGTTTTTTTGTTTTGTTTCTGTAAAATATTCTATTCTCTGAACATGTTTCTTATAAGCATTTAACATTAAGATATGGTTGATCTTAAGTAACATTAACAGATGACAATAAGTGTTGGAAGCTCCTTTCGATTTCTGAATGTCCATGGAACATGGGATTACCTAATGGGGTTATTAGAATTGCCAACAGGCATATTGTGTCAATAGCATTGACTTTGTAATGTTTACACAGCCATTTTACTGGGGTGTGTGTATATATATATATATATATATATATTGTATTATCTGTGTAAGGGAAATGGAGACACACTCTAAGACGCATGATATCAAGGGGAGATGGCCAGCATATACCATCAGCTATTGACATATTTAACATCAATGACATTGTAAGAACTGACTAGTTCACACTATATGTAGGAGAAAACCTCAATAGGACCACATTGACTAACATTATATAATCTTTAACTACCTGTGGCAACTCAACCTTCAGACACACCCACAGGGTACGGGTCTTCTTACACATAAAAAGTGAAGAATGTGGGAAACCACAATATACATATATAATAAAATATTATACCAACATGGGATACTATGTATCAGATATTCCAATTAAGTGAAAAACAGTATCTAAAAATATTTACAAATGGCACATAGCTTAATACAGTATTTTAATAAATATAAAGTGGGTATAAAGCACTCAAAAACACATGTTGGTATCAGGCTCATCACCCTTCCAAGGGTACTGTAGTGAATCTTCTATAGAGAATATTATTATTTTTATTTTTTTTAAAGAGGTACAAATCCAGAGCCCAGTAGTCCGGGCAGGTTTATTGGTGTAAGATAGCCAGTGGTTGTTCCTTTATTTGCTGATTAAGTAAGCTGTTGAACGTTGCATAGAGCCTAATACAGGTGTGCCCGGACTCCAGAAACTGCTTAGCTAAGGACCCATCCACAGGTCACGGGAACTGAACTTGAAAGCGGTTCTTGAAATATGTAACAATCTAGATAGATCTTATTGCCATGAATGCAATATTATGCCATGTTCCTTTGTAAGGATTAGTCCATTCTATCGTCTAACAGTCCAGAGTGAACTTGCTGTTTCTAGATTGTTACATATTTCAAGTTCAGTCACTGTGACCCGTGGATGGGTCCTTAGCTAAGAAGTTTCTGGAGTCTGGACACACCTGTATTAGGCTCTATGCAACGTTCAACAGCTTACTTAATTAGCAAATAAAGGAACAACCACTGGCTATCTTACACCAATAAACCTGCTAATTATTACTGGGCTCTGGATTTGCACCTCTTAAAAAAAATATATATATATATATATAGATAGATATATTCTCTACAGAAGACTCACACTACAGTACCCTTGGAAGGGTGATGAGCCTGAGACTAACACGTTTGTGAGTGCTTTATACCCACTTTATATTTCTTCAAATACTGTATTACGCTATGTGCCATTTGTAAATAATTTCAGATGCTATTTTTCACTTCACTACTTTCTCTGTATTTGTTTGTTTTTGTGAGGTACACCAGGGACACTTTTTTCACGTATTTTAATTCCTTTTCACTTATTGTTTTGTTAACTTCTTACAAGGAAGGCTTAAGTTGTTTTATTATTTCACTGTTATTTTTAATTCTCTTATCGATAAAAATCATAACACCATTAGCTAGGGGATCAGCTCCGTCTGATTATGAAAGAACGGCTTAGTACTCCGCAATGTAATCCTAGCCTAAACACTCTCTCCTAAACAGCGTGCTCAATGAGGGAAGTGTAGTTGTTATTCTATCCCATGTCTCAGAATTGTACTCTTATAATACTCATGTGATAGATTTTAAAACACTTAAACCGAGGCTACTCTTCTCAGGAGTTAAACCTTGCTTCTCTAAGAAAACAATGGTATACAATCCATCAGGCAGCGGATAGCAAATCTTATCTTCCAGCTAACATACTCAAGTAATAAACATGTTTTATTTAGATTAATTTCATTTTTATAAATGAACATTTTCACAATCTACCATTCTACTTACTTAGCAAACTAGGAAAGCTATTTGAGCAAGCTGAAATTTGTTTTTACTAGCACCCTAACAAACCACTCCGGTTTCTATAATTTGTGTAACTAAAGAAATGTAAACACTACAGAATTTTGCTTTTCATTCAGAAATTATTTATATTGCATTGACAATGTGGATAACCCGAAATGTTAATCATTGTATGTCCTTCAATAAATTTTAGTAGGACTTCTGTTGCACACAGAGAGTTTGCACAGCCCTCTTTTAAATTAAATAATAAATTATATGGAATAAATAAAACGTTATATAGACAACGCATGTACTAAACAGACAGATTATGCAGCATTCCCTGCCCTGGTGGCGTCTCTCTCTGTTAATACATTCAGTACTAAGTAAAGCATTCACATGTTTTGCTGTGATAAAGCTATGTAAACATTTTTTTTTTTTTTCCATATATAATTTTTATTGGTTTTGAAGAGTATTCCGGTGCTGATACATGATCATGATAATGATGGTGATACAAGTGATAATGATGACAGTAGTAATAGTAATAATAATAATACTTTGCTGGCGCAGCAGCTCATTAATCAGTTACAGCATATATAGTTACAATAGTTTCATCCTTGTGCTGACAACATTTTCAACTTTATGATATAGCCCTTCTGATATATGTATATCGCGTCTTAATGCCGCTCATGTTGCGCTCGTTTCAGAATTGTTGCCTGTGTAGGAGCTAGGTGGGAGCGACTATGGTCTAGGGCAGTGGTTTACTGTGCTCTTTGAATTGGTGAGTCTGTGTACTTGGGTGTTTCTTTAATATCATGCAACCGGGGATAAGGGGAAAGGGTTAGGGGGGGTAACATTCAACTTAAACTGTACCTATGGCCCACCTGGCCTAGAAGTCGTATGCATGCAGTGTGTGTAACTTGGGTCCGCTACAGGGCCGCTTAGTCGTCAGGGGTTGCAATCGCCATGAGATGCGACCTCTCCCGATTCAGGCTGTCTTAACTTTGGTAGCTTAGGTTAGCGATTGTCTTTCTATACCGGCCTCATTTCGGGCGTCCAGCCATCCCCCCCAGTAGGTGTTGTGTTTCTCAGGTGTTCCCTGCATTTTGTGTGCCATCTGTTCGTATAAACATATACTATCCACTCTGTGTGTTACTTCCTCCTGAGTTGGGGGCGTGTTGTGTTTCCATTTTGATGCTATCGCAATTTTGGCCGTGGTTAGTATGATTATGGCAGTTGTGTGAAGTAGGTAGTGTGCTGGGTTTAGTGGAATTGACAGGTTAGTGGTTTCCTGTATGATTTTTTGGATTGCGGTCCAAAATGGCTTTATGATTGGGCAGTCCCAGAATATATGTAGTAGAGACCCTTGCTTTTGTTTGCATCTCCAGCATAGTGGGGAGGTGTTGGGGAATATCTTTGCCAATCTGAGGGGGACTAAGTACCAGCGCATTGCTATTTTGCTATGTGCTTCCCACAGAGATAGGCTTTTGGATGCTCGCTTAGTGGCGTGAAAGGCTTCATACCATTGTTGTATAGAGATTGGCTCCCCTATGTCTTCTTCCCACTTTTCCATATAGGAGTGTTTGTGCATTGATTTTCCTCTTTCTAGTGCGTTATAGCATAAGGCTAGCGGTTTGATGGAGCGGGATGTCAGGATATACCGGGCTGAGGGTACTTCTAAGTGTGGTGTGGGTGCTGCCGGCTTGACGCGTGTCTGTAGTATATTCTTAACCCTTAGGTATTTGAAAATGTCCCTTGGGTTGAGGGAGAATTCGCTTTGCAGAGTGGGAAATGCTTTCAGTTTGTTTTGGGTGTATAAGTCTCTTACATTATGTATTCCTAGATTTGATCATGTGTGGAGTGAGAGGTCTGGTGAACTGGTCTGCAGTGCTGTTAGTGGTGCTTCCTTAAGTAGTGTTTGTGCGTCTATTACCTCTGAGGCCCAACATTCCCAAGTGTGTAATGTGGTTTGCGTGCACCATAGTCCCTCTTTTCCTATGGTCTTAGGCTCGTGGGACCAGAGAACATTTGGGATGGTGAATGGGTGTATGCAGGCATTTTCGAGGGCCAGCCATAGTGGGGTCTGTTCTGCGTCCGTGGTTCGGAGTATACGCAGGCCTTGTGCTAGGAGGGATGCTCGATAATAGTTGCGAATGTCTGGCACTCCTAGGCCTCCTCTCGTGTATGAAAGGCTGAGTTTGGCAGCAGCCAGTCTGGGTGGTTTCTGTTTCCATATGTGGGCATTAATTATAGTTTGGAATCTTTTTAGCAGTTTTGCCGACTATGTAAACATTTTTTAATGTTAGGCCTTCCCAATATCTGTATTCCAGTCAGTGCATGTTATACACAGCTTGTGGCGATCTAAATCTCCTGTCAGGATGTCATATACTAGGAAAGTAAAATGTGTCATGGGGAACTTACAGAGCAGTGCGAAAAGCCAACTGCTAAAGCAGAAATTCCACAATCCCAAGCCCCAATCTTGTCATTATTTGGTGTGGTGTTTTGGTTTTTTTCTCACTATACATTACACCAAATTATTATTTCTGTCAACAACTCGATCCCCTATTTTTTAAAATTAATAAATATTAACATATGGTCCTTAATGTTTATCTGCCAATATATAAAAAAACCAAAAAAAAAAACCACAGCAGATCTTTTTAAAATAGATATTTTAATTTTACATTATTGTATATAAACTTTCATTTTAAAATAGAGTAAAAATATATGAACCACTTAGTATACATTGTTACATTGCCAAAATGTGCAAGTTAACCATTCAAAACCAGTATATATGTAACCGTGATAAAGGCAACTTAAAAGGGTTATTCCAACGTCCATGACCACTTCTGCTTTTAGTAGCGGTCATAGGGCAAGCAATCTGTATGTGCAGCGTTTCTGATTGAAACGCTTCACATTCAGAGATATCTTTACTTTTGTGTATAACCGTCAGTATGCTTTGCACACTGGAGACAGACAGAATGAGATTCTTCAGTTGCAGGCAGAGCAGTGAGTGCACATGCAATGTGAAGACTTTGGACTGAGTCGTCTGCACAATGTGCCTCAATACTCCCTAACTCCAACAATGACAGCCCTTTAAAGATTTAATATACGCTCCTCCCCGCACCAGTGTGCTCTCAGTATAAATTGATTATCCTCCCCTTATCTACCTGCCACTTACAGGCTCCACCTATGGATGTTAGGTGTTGCCTTTGGGAGCATGACAGAAAATGAAGAGGTGAACGGGATTGAGATGAGCTGTCACTATTGAGTGGACCTTAAAACAGAAAGAGATGCAGTGTTACAAAAGAAGAGCCGTAAAAGCTGTCCAGGAGAACTTGACTCGTGATGGATTCCAGGTAAGTTTTATACTATTTTCAAACTTTTGAAGAACCCTTTAATATACAAAAAGTTAATTACTAAACATATTGTAAAAACATACCATACATACTATAAACCACTCTCAAATGTGTAAAGGGATTGTATTTTTACAGGAGAATGAGAAACAGAACTGTAAACAAGTTATTTATTTTTGATTTCAGCATTCCTTTTAAATCAATATCATAAGAAAACATATCTGGGAACCGTTTTTAAATTATTTGCATGGAAGAGAAAATGGTGTGTTCCTCTCTTTAGTTGCACAGTCTGTCAGAGCTTGAATAATGTTTAGGGTGAGCTAATAAATTACTCCGTGTAAAATAAAGATTAACCATTAAACATTGCAGCTCTGTTTGCATCTTCAACACGCATGAAAAGGAATGGAACTCAACAAAAGCTTCTAATGTGTATCTGTAATTAGCAGCACTGGAGGATTGTGTTCATTTCTTTGGTCTTTTTGGAGATGGAGCATCATCATCTTTTTTTAACCACTGGTGCATTAAACTTGCACTAGTTTTTTTGGGCGATGTGGCAAATTTAGAGAGCTTGGGAGAGGATTTAAAAATGCTGGATTGTTCCTTCTTTGGAGATTTATTTTGCAACCATTCCAACATTTTTTTACCACTGGCACTTAATGTAGGTTCCTGGAGATGGAGAAGAAAGCACAAACAATATTGAAAAGCGGCCAACACATTCATACAGTAGTCATGGATAACAATAACTTCATTATTATCATGTTAAATAAATATCAATATTTAGTACATATACCCTCAATTGTGAATTGTGTACATTTTAGGCATATATCTATCTAAAAACAACTTGCAAAAGCTGCAGACTCTCGTCTGCAGCCTTTGCATGCCCTCCCCTTTTTTCCCCAGCCTGCTTTGCTGTCTAATTACACACTTTCCAATGTAGCAAGGCACGTGCTTTGAGTAATTGCATGCCTCTGGAGTTTAGCTTAACCAAGCTAAAGAACCAGGAAGTAACAGGACCTGTTGTCTTATTGATAGCCAGGGGGTTGGGACAAAGTTAATTCATAAAAACGCCAATTTCAATTGAAATTGAAACATCAGCAAGCTAAAATGCTTTAGGTATTTTGAATGTTCATTTAAGGTGCCAGCAGGTCCAGATCCCTGTTGACACACTGGAAGACCCAGGTATCCTTTGTCACCTGGGGCTCCAAGCTGGGGTCCCAACACTACCTGATGAGCTGAGTGTAGTTCTCAAAGAGAGCAAGGACACACAGCCCTTTAAAATCACTATGGCCAATGACTGCATTAAGCTACCATAATTCCTTCAGAATCCAGAGATCTCACAGAGAGAGGATGACACATGGGCTCTGAAAAGAGCCCGACTGGGTCTATATTCATGTTTCTCTGCCAACAATGATGATAGCTGGGTTGTTTATCCTGTCCAGCACTAGTCACTGGGCGACTGATAGGGACAGCATTAATCTGCAGCATGAGAGATAGATCTCCCTCCCATGCTGCAATCACACAGTACAGGACCTACTGTTCTGTGTAAGCAGAGAAAATCCATCCGCCGATGTCAGCAATTATATCCCTCTGCATTAGATTTAGGGTTAACTTAAGGGTACAGGGATGGTCAGGGCACCAAAACAACTTTATCTTAATGAAGCCGCTTAGGTGTACAGATAATACTCCTATAATCTGAATGCTCAGTACTCTGCTATTTAGGAGTTATATCACTTTTGTTTCTGTTTATACTGCCCTAGCCACACCTCCCGTGACGCTCACAGTCTGCTTGAAAAAAAAAATGGCTTAATTTTCAGCCAGATCTTACAGTACTTTGTATCTACTCTGTTAATTGATCTTTAATGACACACAAGAAGATCCTACAGGCTATTAGCAGAGCCGAAAAAATAAAGAAAATGTAAGAATTAGAACTCTTTAATAGCAGAGAACTGAGCAGGGAAACTGCAGAGGAAGTCTATACACCAATACTGCTTAATTAAGCTAAAGTTGTTTTGGTGCTTAGAGGGTGGAGTTAAGGTTAGAAATGAGGCCAACATTGATGCTGTAAACTATGGTGGCACAGTTAGTCACTTCCCCACATATCATCTCATGGAAGTAAGAAAATGGGCATGTCTGTTAGGTATACATGTGTGGTATTGTTGTACTTAGATGAAGTAAAACATATATACTAATCACAGGTTTTCCACAGTTGTGGGACACAGACATCTTGTGAAATTCAAAGTGAAAACCAAATATGCATGTTAAAAACACCAAAGCATGAAATAAATAATTTTTGACAGTGGTTTGTCAAGCACAAAACGTAAACATTTAAAAGTAAAATTGTTGATAATGTAATATAAAATATGAAGTTTTTTTATTGCAGCTAAGGCAGCTGGGCATTAAGTTGAAAGTTAGGAGGTATTTGCATGACAGTTTCTTGAAGTGTGAGAAATATACACAGGCATTTTTTAACGCGCAACAACCGTTACTGCTTTAATTATATGTTTTTTTAAAAAAAAAATCACTACCTTTTTTTGGTTTAAAATAATAGGTGAAATGCACTCTGGGACATTGTTACGGGAATTGTTCACGATAGGCGACACTGGGTGGCAGGTGACATTTTCAATTGGATAAATAAGTTTCAGGGCTTCTTGAGTTGGTACTTCAGCAAAATCCAGCCACTTCTGAATAGCCTCATCAGTATCCAAAATAGCAGGCATTCTGAGAGCAGGGATAAAAATATGTTTGATAAATATAAATTTATTAATTACAAGAATTCTCTATAAAAGCAGCATCACACAAGCACATAAATAATTTTTCTTTAGATTTAAGACGCCTGCTGTAGAGAATAGAATCCATATCTTTAGAGTTTAATAAGCCTTCAAGAAGTGTCTCAATATACAGTGTAGATTCTCTATAGTGTAGTGAAACAAAAAACTAATTACTAAAGTTAGGCTACAATAGCCAAGCTGTGACTATGGAGTCGGAGTATTATTCTAAGTCTGCTATATTTGAATAAAATGTAATAAGTCTGTTCTATGATGAATAAGCTCTAGTTTTTCCACACACTGTATATAAAATACAACCTTTCCAAGCACCATAACCATTACAGCCCCTGTAGAGGTTATGGTGCCAGAAAAGTCCTGCTGCCCTCGCAGTATAAGTAGTGAAATCGTTTAAGAATGGTTTTACAATTTCTAATGACCGACCTCTTGCTCTGCAGCCCATGAGATAAAGTTCACAAGAACATCAGTTTCACAACTTCTCTTAAGTAACATGAATTTAAGATGTATAAAGAAGTAATAATCAACGAGTCTCTTCATAGACCTGGCATATCTAGAATATTGATTTATGCATAAAGTTAAAAGCTATAGCATAAGGAATACAAACCTGTACACCTAATGCTTTAGTTGCCCTGACCCTAGATCTATTCTGATTCCCTCTGCGCTGTTTGCCTCTTCATCTCCAGCGACACCACAAAGGAGGCATGGCTTCCTCCACAATGGTACGTTTATTTGCTTCTCATAGAGGAGTAATGGGGATCTTACGCATATGCAAGTTGCCCCATAGGAAACTATAGAATCAATCCTCTCCTATGGGGGTACCTCCACCACACGTAAAATTATGAAGCGCCTCTTATGGCTGTCAGTATGGCAGCTACTAGATGTGGACTTAACCCTGCAAAGTAAACATTGCAGCTTCTACAAAAATATTTTACATTGCAGGGCTAAAAAGGACAGGACCACTGCGCCCAGACCATTTAATTGAGATAAAGTGGTCTGGGTGAAATATTACCACTTTTACATTTAATTAGTTATATGAAAAAGGAGGGTGCCACTGAAGGCAAATTAACATGATGAATAAGTCTTCCTGCGTTGTCAGAAAGAGGGGCTAGTAGAATCAGCAGATTTTCTTATACAAAAATGAAGAGGGAAAAAAAAAATTTTAAATTGAGATTTTAAGCCAATCATGCTTTTCATCTGCATATGTTTGATTCAAACACAGTCAGTTTCTAAGGCCAAATACTATACACCAAACCACATAACAGCTGTTCCCATATTTAAATCTGAACGACAATGAAATAAAATAATAGTACATAGGAAGGAAGTGAAACCTCCTGGCAGTTCATGCATTGAAGACTGCTTGGTTTGTGGAGGAACTATCAGGTTCTGCTTGAACAAACAGTGAATCAAACAGAAAAATTCTGTCCAACTCTGATTTAACCTTTAAACCTTACCAGCGGAACAGAGAAAAGACTATAGAAATTACTTGGGGTCATCATTCACTTTCACTAGTAGAAGTGTTAGAGGGTATAGCGTACAACATTTGCTAAGGAAGCATGCTTTCAAAACCTCTGTGATGGTGAAAGTTTCCGGATGAGCAAAACTCAAAAATAGAAAACATGGCAGTTCTCACTACTATTATAGTTGTACAAACATAATAGAAATCAGCAGGGTCCTTTACAAAAGTGAGAATTCTAAATGAATTTAAAATTTAAGGCCAGAGTAGTCAAACTGAAAGCTTGACTAGATAGTTTTTCCAGTACGGCTTGTTTGACCGTAAATTAGAAGTTCACCATGAATTCTCATTTTATTGAATAACACTGGAGCAGTTTTAAATATGACACAGCCAAACCAAAAGTGCGTGATTCATACTCCTACCAAGACAATTATTTGCTTGGATGGGTTCTTTTTATTCTTAAAATTTAAGAAAATGACATACAATATATAACTATTTTGATTAGATGTCACTAATAAATCTTCATCCCCCATACTTAAATAGTTACTTGCCGATCATGTATCCAGTTCATGCTTTTGGAAGAATCCACTGTGATTATGGTGTAGGAATACAACAATTCTCCATTGGGTGCTTCCCAACAATCAAAGAGTCCAGCCATAGTCAGCAGTCTCCAGCCGTCCCAGCACAACCCATCCTGTGTGTCAGGAGACCATAAAATCATGAACAGAATTAAGACAAAAGTATGAAAATAATGTAGTTTACGAATCTTTGTTATGCCAAGGCCAAGCGCAAAACAAATATATAACTAAACCATTAGCCAAGCTAACTTTCAAACAGGAAAATTGAATTGGTACCTGCTCTGCTTTGATCTGAGGAAAGTATATGTAATAAGGCTGCTTTTCTCCATTCTGTCTCTGCCACTCATAGAATCCATCTGCGAGTACCACACAACGTTTTCCTTTAAATAGAGGAGCCTAAGGGAAGTAAGATGGCACCAGTTATTACAGGGAAACCCAATGCGGTCTCTCCCGTTAAATCTTTACTATAAATTACCATAATGCTCTAGAAAACGTAATCCAATGAAACCTATAAAAGAGGGGTAAACTCCCTTTCAAGATTTCCTTTATGGTGGAAAGAAATGCTCTTATTAATAGAGGTTACATGAAAATTCTCCAGTTTTGTCCATTCATTCAACGTAGAAGCAGACTAACCAGCCATCTATGTAGTCCAGCCAAGTATCAGGGCATTAAACCCAAAAGTTGCAGGGCCACGCCAGGTATCACTGCACTATTCCCATAAGGCACAGATGAAGCATAGTGATCAGTAAGCCAACCCAGGAAAGCAAAGTTGCAGCATTGCCAGTGTGAATGTAGACAGTGTACAAAGAGTACATTGTAAAACAGGTGTTTAAATCAATACTTTCAGAAAAGGCCATTTTATCATATTTTACCAAACTAAGTATAAGCTAGTAATGTGTGAGATAGGTTTAAAGGTTTTTGTTATTTTAAGCACAAGGTGGTATTATATGTTACAATAGTGTAACGATGTGCGTGTGTAGGCCAATGCATATAAACGTTTATCATGTTTAGGAGGCCAGAGTGTTCCTTTAATTTTCCTTTAAAAAACAAACAAACATAGGTTTGGTTTACTAACATGTAAGAGCCAAATATAAATATCTATAATAAAATTACCTTGTACAAGACTTTATCCGTCATTGTGTCGCTCCTGCAGTTGTTCGTACTGTATTGCATTTTGGATGGGTCTGCTTCATTGAACCAGGACGGTATAAGTCCCCATCGCATTGCAGCGAGAACTCGCTCTGAAGAGTCAGCATCCTAACAGAAAAGAAACAAACTTTGATATATCTGTCCAGAAGAGCTTGCAGTCTTTTCTTTAGTAGTACTCTAGGATGCTATAACCTTGCTGTTGCCCCCATCTCCTCTGTTTCCATGTGAGATATCAGTGAGTAAACAAAGGCACAGCTGTACTCCTGTAGTCACAAGTATGGGTTTATAAAGTTATAAATGGAACCTTTTTACTGGGCTGACAGTGGATTAGATTTACATTCTAAAGCACTAGAGCACCATTATCACAAACCCAAGAGGTGTGGCAATAACAGTTATAAATAGTATATTTTGGGGTCTCTGTGGTAGGCATACATCGAACAACGATAGTCACTGTATCTTGATATTACAACAGTGCAGACCAATCCTTCCCCCATCCCCTCCATCTTAACTCTCCCTGAATATTGCTTTTCCATTATTTAATATATACATAGAACATGTTTATTTTCACACATTCTCCTCCCTAAGTCCCTGTAAAAGTGAAAAATGCTGGCGCCTCTAATCACTTGCATTCTTTATTAACATTTTACAAGTCAATGTGATGTCGCTTCTGAATGCATGGTATCCATGTCAGTGGACACTATTCAATTCTAAGGGGAAAGTGAATACCATGGTTAAAATTAAATCAAATATATATTTCATGCTATGAGTCTTAGCATAGTAGGAGAAAATGTGTAACTATATTATATAGCTGAAAAGAGATATGCGTTAATCAAGTTTAGCCTTTTTGCAAAGGAAAAAAAAAACCTATACATCTGTACATCAAGCAAATAAAAAAATAAATAAAACACCACAACTAAATAAAATTCAGAAGAATGCTTTATATATCAAAATGTATGATTGCAGATTTGGTGTTTGAACGTACTAAACTTATCTGATATGAAGTCAACTACTCTTGATACAGTTGACTGAGCCAGATGATCAACACATATGGCCCTTGTGGGTTACCACCTAGAGTTAGTATCAGTTTTTAGATGACTCAACTACTGTACTCACAAAAAAAAAAACTGCTGTTGTATTTACTGTTAAACTTGCTTGTCATCGGTTGGGTTCCTACAATTTTTGCAAAAATCCCCTTCAATATCAAGCTGCGATGATTCACATCACCTTTGTACTCTCACACAGAAGTACCAAATGGGAATCTATAGAAGATCCCGTAAGATGCTCTGCAAATCTTCTCACACACGAGCAAGAAGATGGCACATTCACAAGATCTTTTAAGTCAATGTTTACACTGTAACAAAATGCAAAATGTTTGGTATGAAACATGCATCTGCACACAGAAAAAGGAGGAGAAAGGGTAAAAAGAAAAGGAAACACAGCATGAAGTAGAGTTGGAGCACATCAAAACAACAGTCATAGTCGGCAAACTGCCATAATGATTGGTCTAACATTTCTAACATAAAAAGCATGTAACTTTTGGTGCGCCTAACTGTCAAAAGTTAATGTCAAATTCTAGCAACTGATCCCAGTAGAACATTTAAGCTACCATAATGATGATGATATGCGTTTTGTGGACCACGTTTTTCCTACTCAGTCTAGTCACTCATAAGCTAGTGGATTCAAAGTAGAAGGATCAATGCTTTTGCCTCTGTGAGTAGATGTTTGAGAATTTTTTATTACAAAGTAGAACTCGCAGGAAAGGAGGACTAGATGAGATATTCTAGGTTGCTGTCAAAGACTTATGCAAATATTTTTTGAATTTGGGAAAAATGGGACTTGAAGTAACACTTCAAGAACCATAACCACATAACCATGTACCCCACTCCCCCCTAATGTACTTAGTCAAACTGTTTGCTGGAAGCTCTCATTGAGCGGACACATCTCCTACTCATTTTTACCTTTTGAAAATGCTTTAAAGACAAGAGGACAGGGCTGGTGGATTGGGGAGTCTTGTTATATGATGGCTGGTATTTTTGATTGTCACCATCTCGCCACTGAGGGCATTTTCGTTTGCCTTGCTTGTCCTTATACGAACACGCTCTACTCACATCATCTGGTGCAAGAGTGCATGCGGTGCGGCCACACATATTTCTTTGCCTTTTAAAAGCTAGAGAGAGGAAAAAAAAGGCTATAAAATTTCTCTTGCTTTGGTCAATAATAGTTTCAATATAAAGTGAAGCTGAATTCAATCACAATGTTTCTGTCCTGCCTGACGAAATGATGTGTACCTGTGTGTGTGTGTATTATTATATACTGTATAGAAGATAAATAATATATAGAAAAAGCTATGAATACGCTAGAAATGATTTTACAATAAGAATCCAGAGTGTTCATGTTGCTTTGAAAATATGCCCTTTTGCTCCAAATGTTCTTTGCCATTACACTTTATCAATCCTGCCAGTTGGCTGACAAAGTGCCCAGTTACACTGACATTCTATCAGCTCGGTATACTTCCTTTAATGTGTTCTATTTACGTGAAGATTCTGTCCTTCCTCCAGTAGTAGCTCTGCCCCAGTCAATGAGAGCTGAGTTAGATTATGTCTCCCCATGAAATAACACAATAATCATAAACTATGTATGAATAGCAGCTAGCTGGCTGGCTGGGGGTCCTGTGAGTGGTAATGGTAATCTCTTACCAGCTCGGGCGGGAACCGTCACACTCACTCAATGGAGGAACAGGTAGACTTCGATTACATAACCAGGTCACATGGGCACCGGTCACGTGATCGAATGTGGGGGCGGGGAGTGACTGACATGCTGCTGTAAACAATGACTGGCTGAGGGCTCTGACTCTGAGAATTAAAGTTTTATACAGTTTCTTTCTTGCTGAGGTCAATGGGAGTTTCAGTTCTAGACACTTTTTTTGACTGACTGAGGTCTATAGGAGTTCCAGTTGTAGACACTTTTTTGACTGACTATTATCTGTGGGAATTCTAGTAATAGACACTTTTTAGTTGTTTTTTTTTAACTGGCTGAGGGTTGTGGGAGTTCTAGTTAAACGCTGTTGATAAGTGTGTAAAGGGTTTTGATAGTTTAAGGCAGGAATCTAAAACGCAATTTTTTTTATTAATTCATTGTGATGATCGCTGGAAATGTAAAGTGAATTTAAACATTTAGGCCAAAAAAGCTGAATTAGGAAAATGCGCCAGTGAAGTCTTTTTCTATTTGGCTATTTTAGAATTGCAAGTTGAGCTCTCAGCACCATAACCACTAAATAATATTTTAGCGGCTATGGTTTCTGGTGTGTCCTGGCATCCCCAATCTAACCTGGGCTCTGCCGATATTGCTGCCCCTACTGAGCTGTAGTATTTATGGTGCCTGAAGTGTTTCTTAAAAATCAAGACTTTGCAACACATAAAAAAATATGGATTTTATTAAAAACAGGAGGTAAATATTATTTTTTGTAAATCTCGTTTTTATTCAAAAAGAATATTTCAGTTATATACTGTAAGTAACAAGATGAGACATGCATGTCTCGCAAGATGAACAAACAAACAAGCATGTTAATGTACTTATATCCATTCAAGTAAAGTAAAATGTGATGTGGCTTAGCCTCATAATAAATCACAGATATTACATGAGCATAAGAAAATAGTTTGCTGTCATTTTACCTATGCACCTGCTGAACAACCGTTGTAAACAGCGCTTTAAATAATAATAATAATAATATATTGTCACTTATTCCCTAGAACTCTATAAGGGCTTCCTTAACATAGCAGTGTTGGGTCCCATATTATCTCTACGGACATCTATACTCCTCCAGCATCGCCAATCAGTACTATACTCCATGGAAGTGGCACCCTCTCCTACACCTCTGCACACACTGCACGTATTAAATCGTGAGGAAGGCTTAAATGGAAACTTTGGTGCCAGAAAAACAGTGCCATGGTCATGTCCCAGAACGGCACTATATGATGACAGTCCCACCACAGATGCCTCACCGTTCCCTCAGCCGATCCGCATCTCCAGCAAGTGTCTGGGACTATTAAAAAGATCTTATGTAGAAGTGTTGATGTTTTGTACCAAAAGGAGAGGAGTTTATAGTTTACCTCTTGATATCTAACGCTGATGAAGCTTTTATGATGGAAAATCAGTAATTTTTCCCATTGTGCATTAGTGAATGTTTTAGAAAACATCGTCTCCGGAAATGCTGCTTGGCCAACTGACCTATACAGACGCCAAGTGAAAAAATTGTATATTTCGAATTAGAGGCTACGCAAAAAAGTTGTAATGGGATATAACCTAAAGGGAAGATAAACTTTGGAGAATGGTAGAATCTAACATCCAATCGCTGTAATCTATCAAGAACAGAGAATTCCAATCCGCTGCTGTATCGGGAAAACCATGGAAGTATTCTACTTATAAAACAATATCCCGATCTAAGCAAAATGCCAAAAGTCTTTGGCAATGTCCGCTAGCTGTTTGGCTGTTTGGTTATATATTGAACTTCTGAAATTCTGTCCATATTGAGAAGAACAAAGGAAAAATCCTGCATTCTAAGCAATTTATATGCATCCGAGTTTCGTCTGGAGACCATCTGCCTCCCGTGAAAGCAATTCTGCAATGAGCACCCCAACCGATAACGTCTGTCATCAGATTCTATAACTAGATCTGGAAATAAACTAAAAATCACCTTCCCGTTTCATGCGTGAATTAGATTTAGTCACCATTAAAGTTCTTCACAAGTTTCTGGCATCAGAGCAGTTTCGTCAGAATAACTTTAACAGGAGCAGAGTTTGTCTTCCTTCAACCTTTGAAGGGCCCAGTAGTGTAGGGGAGGCAGAAAAATGGCTTGAATGGAACCTGATAATAACCCCACAATTCAGTTTAAAGATCTGATGGAAGTTAGTTGCTTGTTCAGAAATTATCTGATCTCCTTCTGAATAGTTTTCAGTTTCCTCAATGGAAGAGAGTGGCTAGTTGGGAGTCTACCACTAAGCCCAGGATAAGGAAAACTGAAACCATACTAGGCATAATCTCTTTTCCTGACTATTTATCATGGCAGGATCACTTATGGGTAGCTCCACCCTCAGGACCAGAATAGGACAGGAAACAGAATTCAAATGAAACCAAGTGTATAAATGGTCCCTCCTCCCTTCACACACCAGTTCATTATAAGGTCCAAAGCACTTAGCGGGGCAACATGATGCTGCCATGATAAATAGCCAGGAAAAGAAAATTAAGGTAAGTATAGCTTAAATTTGCCCTATTCCTGGCTAATCATGGCAGCATCACGTATGGGTAATACCCAAGCTAATTTCAGAAGGGTGGGAGAAAAAAGAAAAATTTACAAAAAAGATTGCAGCATCACAAGTTGTGAACCGAAGACAAAACACCTCTAACAAATTTAATAGATGAGGAGGCCAAGTCCAATTTGTAGTGCTTAATGAATGTCACTGGGGAAGACCAAGTGGCTGCCTTGCAGATATCACCTGAAGGCACTTCTGGCCAATTTGCCCAAGTTGTAGAAAGAGATCTTGTAGAGTGAGCTCTGATCTTAGCCGGTGAAGATTTATTATTCTTCCAGTGTGCATCTGCTATAACTGCTGTAATCCAACGTCTAAGAGTTGAAGAAGAGTCTGCTTCTTTCCTGGAGCCATTAGGACGGATTAAAAACATTTCCGACTTCCTAAAGTCTCTAGTATTTTCTAAATATTTGATTAAATATTCTTGAATATCCAGTTCATGAAGTTTTACTTCTGGAGTTTAATTATTTGGAATGAAGGAAGGTAAAACTACTTCTTGATCCCTGTGAAAATTTAAAAAATAAAAAGTGAAAGAAAACCATGATGGCTAAAAAGTAAGATAAATATATGCCGGCATTATGTTTTTATTCAAATTTTTTTTTTTTTTTTATCTTAAAGTAACACTCCAGTGCCAGGAAAGGTCCCCTCTCCCTCCCACCCCCCATCCCATGTTGCTGAAGGGGTTAGAACCCCTTCAGTGACTTACCTGAGACCAGCACCGATGTTCCTCGGTGCTGGTTTAGGGTCCGCCCACGCACCGATTGCGCATGCATTAGACCTCTCCATAGGAAAGCATTGAAAATGCTTTCAATGCTTTCCTATGGGGATTTGAGCAACGCTGGAGGTTCTCACATAGCGTGAGGACGTCCAGCGACGCTATAGCACAGAAAACCTGTGCTATAAACCAGGAAGTGCCCTCTAGTGGCTGTCTAGTAGACAGCCACTAGAGGAGGAGTTAACCCTGCAATGTAAATATTGCAGTTTATGAAAACTGCAATTGTAACGGATCACCTGGCACCCCGACTGGGTACGTCCGTTGAAGGATGCTCCTAGCGCTTCCTGAGGACTCCAAGCACTGCAGCAGACACCACAACCACCGAACCGGAGAAGCATACGAATGCTCTCAAGCATATGAATGCTGTAAGCAGCTGAACAGGAAAAGCATGCAATCAGCTTACACTCCTGGTAATCAGCATATAATCCAATTCCCCCAAAAACGAGACGACACTTCGTTTTGAGGTCAAGCAGAACCAGACCTCATTGACTGGTCCTGGGATGACCTCGAGATGGGGGTCTCTCTACCGGCCCTACAGGGAGCCAAAGGTGTCGTCCTTCCTCCCCAGCGGCAGTGTGAGTTCCAGGGAGCCGAAGGTGTCATCCTTCCTCCCCAGCGGCAGTGTGAGTTCCAGGGAGCCGAAGGTGTCGTCCTTCCTCCCCAGCGGCAGTGTGAGTTCCAGGGAGCCGAAGGTGTCATCCTTCCTCCCCAGCGGCAGAGTGAGTCCCAGGGAGCCAAAGGTGCCGTCCTTCCTCCCCAGCGGCAGTGCGAGTTACAGGGAGCCGAAGATGTCGTCCTTCCTCTCCAGTGGCAGTGTGAGTTACAGGCAGCGAAGGTGTCGTCCTTCCTCCCCAGCGGCAGAGTGAGTCCCAGGGAGCTGAAGGTGCCGTCCTTCCTCCCCAGCGGCAGTGCGAGTTACAGGGAGCTGAAGGTGTCGTCCTTCCTCCCCAGCGGCAGTGTGAGTTCTAGGGAGCCGAAGGTGCCGTCCTTCCTCCCCAGCGGCAGTGTGAGTTCCAGGGGGCCAAAGCTGTTGTCCTTCTCCCCCCAGCAGCAGTGTGTCCTACAA